GTTGCACCAGTGGAGGTTTAGATTGGAGATTGGAAAAACTTTTTTCACTCGAAGGGTTGTCAAGCACTGGAACAGGCTGCCCAGGGAAGTGGTGGAGTCACCATTCCTGGAGGTATTTAAAAGATGTGTAGATGTGGTGTTTAGGGACATGGTTCAGTGGTGGACTTGGCAGTGCTGCGTTAATGGTTGGACTCGATGATCTTGAAGGTCTTTTCCAACCTAAACACTTCTGTGATTCTATGATTCTAATCCCAGTGCTCCCCTAAGGCTGCTCTAATGTGCTATAATGCAATTAGAGCATCAGCAGAGGGCTTGATTGGACTCAGCTTAGCAACCATGTGCAGTGCCTGGATGGGTCTCACTGGTGTGTACTGGAGCTAAGCCACTTAAAGCTGGTTTGGGCATATGGATGCACTTGCCACGGAGCTAACTCTGTAGTGTGGCTGGGATCTTCCTGAATTCAGGGCTTCATATCCTGCTGTTCCCCATCCCGCCCTATGTCCCCGTCTGGCTGTACTTGAACCACAGTCTCTACAAGTCAAGACAGAGATAATCTGCCCAGTTATTGGCTCCGGGGACTGATGCATCCACCTCTTGGGCTTTTTCCTTCCCCCAAAACACCAGCCCACAGCTTCCTGGAAGCTTTCTGTGGAGATAGAGGCTTGTGGGATGCCCTGCCATCAGAGCCAGCATGGAGGCCGTGGCATGGCTGGAGGGGAGGGACGTGCGCCACAGAGCGCTCAGTGAGATGCTTGTCCCTCTCGTGTCCCCACGCAGCACTCTCTCCATCTACGGGATCAACCAGGCGGATGAAGCCATCTACCAGTGCATCGCCGAGAACAGCGCTGGCTCCACGCAAGCCAGCGCTCGCCTCACGGTCCTGTGGGCAGATGGGCTGCCCGGCCCTCCGCAGAGCGTGAAGGCTGAGACCGTCTCTGCAACCACCATCCAGGTGTCTTGGAAAGAGCCTCTGCAGAACACCAAGGAGATCATCGGTTACGTGCTGCACATTCGGAAAGCTGCAGGTATGGTGCTCTACCCACTGCCCAGAGCACCCTCAGCCTTCCCACAATTTAGCAGCGTGGGCCACGAGGTAAACCAGGTCTGCACTGCAGTAGACAGTGCTGCCACCCATGTTCTCCATCATCTCCACGTTTCTGAAAGACAGAGATGAGGCAGTAATGCTGATGTAACTGCCCAAAGGGTGGGGGGGGTGAAGCTGCGTGGTCAGATCTTGCTGCCCGCTTAGGTCTCTAGCAAAGCGTGCAGAAATGCCAGCAGAAAATGATGTGGGCAGATACAAACCCACCTTAGGGACCAAAACTACCACTTGCAACACCTGTTTGGTCCCTTTAGCTCTTGCAAAGCCTAACGCTGCTCTATTCTCTCTTTGCTCTTCAGATCCCGTAGAGATGGAGTATCAGGAGGCCGTTAGCAAGAGCACCTTCCAGCAGCTAGTGACTGATTTAGAGCCCTCGACCAGCTATAGCTTTTATATAAAGGCTTACACCTCCCGGGGTGCCAGCAAAGCCTCAGAAGTCACAGTGGTGAGCACGCTGGGAGAAGGTAAGGAACGCTTTGCGCTTGGGCCATCAGATGCTGAACCCCGCTGTGTGTAGCAGCAGCACCGGTCACCCCGATACCCCCTCCGGGGCGCTTTGGCACAGAGCCTGCGTCGTTGATGCTCCTTGTTTCTGCTCCTCCTCATACTCTGGGATATTGTGTAAAACTCACTTGTGTCGTTACACGGGGGTCACTGGTTGCCTTCAACACGGCGTTGCCTCTCACGGCTGATGTTGTAGCAGGGGGTGAGCGCAAGCCTGGCCGGTCTCGTGCATTGCAGCTGCTCTGGGCTTCTCCTAAACTGCTTGCTAAATGCAGATTTCCTGTTCAAGCAGCGTCTCAGCATCCTCCAGCAGCTCTGGTACTCACAGCTCTTACTTGATAGGTACCACGTTTTTCTGAATTTTAATTTTTTCTGCTCTGTCCTGGAGAAACCACACTAGAGCTGAGCTGTCCTGACCTACGAGTCCCGTCCTTGGAGCAGCCTTCTGTTTTAGTGGGAAGTTAGGGTGATCTCCAAGGCTTTTTCCCTGACTTGGCCTCCCAGATGTGGCCACCAGTTAGCTTCCCCAGTAAGAAAGTGGGTGGTGTAATGGAGGACCCTTGCACACAGACACCAGACAGAAACCACAGCCGCAGTGTGATCTGTCAGGTGGCATTTTAGGAACATTTTCCTAGAGACTCACGTACCTCTCCAGCACCTCTGAATCCTGGCTTGTCTCACATGCTGAGACTAATTTCTTAGGAGCATTGCATCGCTCTCGTGAACACTCAGTAATTATGAGTAATTATGCAGCAGAGAGGACCTTGGGTGTGAGGATGTTATTTAGGATCAAATGAAGGACTGCATTGACTTCTAGGTGAGCGATCCAGTTCTCATTGTTTTCAGCCCTTGCAGATGTTTACTACAGCATTTAAGCAACAAGACCAATAAGTCCTCGCCCCGCAGGGTTGTTACCCTGCAAGTTTATTTTCCTTGGTACTCTGCAGGCAATTGGTCACCCTTGGAGTTTGTTTTTCCTTCCAATTTAGAGAGACAAGGATGGACTAAAGCAAAACTTGAAACTCCTTGACCCAACGCTCTGAGTTCAGCTACTGGAGCTGGAAGCCAGCCATGCTTCATAGAGCCTGGCGTTTCTGCAGAAGTCTGGGTCAAGCGAGTGTGGACTTCTTGTCATTGTTATCTTCAATCACGACAGGAATAGTTAGGTATCTGGTAATGGGATCATAAATTTCCTGACACTCTGAAGTTTCAAGGCATCGTTGTCCTGCTCTACTATCCTTTAAAAAAAGGTGTAACGAGGCTTCAGCAGTTAGCTGCATGTTCAGGGTGGACAAGCTGGCCTGGTTAAGATCACTCAACCCCAGCACGCGTTTACCTTGCAGGAAGATAAAGAGAGATTTAAAAGCCCCAGTTCTGGCTTGATTTGTTTGCTTTGCTTCACTTGGGTGCCTGTTGCCTTCTGCTCACAGAGGTGAGAGCAGGTCAGGGAGCCAGGATCCAGCGGTGTTTGTCACCAAATTAAGGTTTCACTGGAGATTTGCCTCTTCTCACAGCAAAGCTATTTCGCCCTGTGCCTTCCCGAGGTGCACCAGAGAGCCGCGACACCCCTGAGCTCAGGGAGTCCCTGGACCTGTGCAAACAGCCTCGGGAAGGGACGGCATTTCCCCGACACGCCGTGTCGCAGCTTTGCTATCCCGGCTCAGCGCCACGTGCGTGAGATGCGTGCGGAGATGCGTGCGAAACCCCGTGGTGGCTGGGCCCCCCGTGTCACTGTGCTGCCATGTCCTGCCTGGCATGGAAAGGACACGGCAGGTGAATCTGCCAGCCGGGGACGGCTCGGCGGAGCCAGGGCAGCGCATGTCAGAATAGCCAGAAGACCTGCTGCCAGCTGCAGACTGGTGTTGTACTGGTATTGTCTGGAGCAGGGATATGGTGAAGGTACGGAGGAGCAGGCTTGCTTTCAGCGTGAGGAGGTCAGTTTTCCAGGGCTAGGAATATGCTGAGAGTGCGCTTGGTTGAAGCCTCCAATGCTTTCTGGAAGTGCCGTGCCCCTTCCCTCGTGCCAGTGTTAATTCTGGATGGAAAGTAGAAGGGAAGACGCTGTAGAGAAACTACGCAAGTGAACCTTGTCCTCCGTAAACCTCTCTCGCTAGGAAGGTCCTCCTGTCTCCTCCCTGTTGTTCTCCTTTACGCCATTTCACAAATGCCATGGTGTTTTAAATCTCAAACTCTCTCCGCTTCCTTAAGCAGCACACACTCCTTGTTCTTGTCTTTTAATGCTTTTTAGGGTTTTCTCCAGGACTTTTTGACATTTCTCTAGGATGAAGACTGTTCCTTTAGTCATCTTCGGCTAAAGACGCCTTCAAGAAGAAAGTTGAAATGACCTGGGGAAAATTCCAAACAGCACGGAAGAGGAAAACAAGTATCCCAGCCCTTAGCATGAGGGAGATGCCTCACTTACAGTAGATCCATATTATGTCTTATATATACTTCTGTGAAGCACCTATACACTGTTGTGTGTACATATATTTATACACACACAGAGATATACTCCATCTGTATACACTTATTTGTGTAATAACATTATAAACAGCACATGCATTCTGCGAGTGCACACATATAATCAATATTATACATATATATATACTCAAAGTTTGAATAAATACTATATATTCCATACTTTGAAGGAGAGATATTCTTGTGGTTTTTATTAAATGTAAGGCTCTGCAACCATAAAATAAAGCCAACTCTTCGCAAATCAGGATGGCCCACATCAGTGTTTCTTTGTCCATGGGATAATGCGATTTCCCTTTCTGTGGCGTTTTCACCCGTGATTTGGAAAACAATGCTTTAAGCAAGGGTGCAACTTCTCAGAGGGGGGATCCAGACAATTCCTAATTTTGCCCTAAAGGGAATTGGGAGAATTAGAAAAAAAGAGTATTTAATTGGCTTGCAAAAATACGCAGCCCTGGGAAGAACGGTACATTCTGGTATAAACAGAATTTACTCTGTGTTTTGCACCCAGAAATTGCTAAGTACAGCCTTCCCGTCGATGAAATGCACATCAGAATGAATCCTAGCAAGAAGAAGTCTTTCAACCCGTTTTTCTCCCACTGGCAGCACTCAGGCAGGATGGGGTCTCCTTAACCTGACCCAGGACAGCTGCTCTCCGAGTCTCCCCTCCCGAATCCACATGGAGATGCTCACCAGTCAGCAGGGACTTGCTCCTCTCCCCATGCTTATTTGGAGGGCACCAGGCAAAGCCCCTGCAACCTGAAGGAGGGCATCACTTTGGGAAGAGGCAGGGCTGCCCAGGCGCTGCTGCTCAGCCTGAGAGAGGTCTTTTCTTCCCCTAAATCTCCTCGTGGGAAAGTTGGGGCTCCCAGAGCCTGGGAAAAGGCAAACCGTTGTGCCGTGCGGTGTTGCCTTTGCCGTTAAGTGGAGGAAGTGCCCTTTTTAGCTCTCGTCACTCTCGGATTGACACGGCCACATTTCATCCGCTTTTCACCGTCGCTCACTAAATGGCTGTGCCAAATCTGCCAAAGGACGCGGTCGGGGGCAGGTGTGCGCTGCTCGTCCTTTAGAGCCCCTTTGGGGAAAAACAAGACAAAAAGCAGCATCAGTCCAATGGAAGCCCAGCAGTCCTTCTATTTGGGAACTTCTGAGCTTGTAATCATGTGGGATTGGAAAAATGCCTCAAAGCCTGGAGGCTGCTGGAGAAGCAGGGCTGTTGTTCTGCTGGGTAATTTTGCTGCAGGGTTTAGCAGAGTTCACTGCCTGGTCCAGCAGTGCCCAAAAACCTTTCTCCCTCCCAGTGCTGGGGCAGAGCCCTGGGCCGGACAGAGCCTGCAGCTCCTGGTGCTCTGCACCTTCTGAATGGTGCCAAGGGCTGGGGACTGGTGGGAGCATCTGGCCTGGAGGTGTTTTGTGGAAATGAGGTGGAAAAAAAAGTCATCAGTGAAATGTCCTGCTGCGAGACATCTCTCTGTTGGTGTGATCAGCGTACGAGAAAGGGCGGGAGAGGGGAAGGAAGAGGCTTGGGAGAGACGTGTTCCCGTGTGCCCCAGCGCTGCACAGGGCTCAGGGGCAGGGTTTGCGCAGAAGCAGCTTTGGAAAACCCAGACATACACTTCAGAAGAAAATTGGCTTTGGTTTGCAAATCTTTTCCTCTCAGCCCAGGCTGATGGGGCAGCATGGGGCTGGGCAGCTTTTGGGGGACCTGGGGAGGGAATGGCCGTGCCCTGCCCGCTGCAGCACACAGGGAATGAGGGCAGGGTTTGGGGGCACTGACTGGAGCAAAAAGCGCCTTGGTGGACTTTGAATCAGGCCTCGGTGACACCGGGCAGCAGCAGGGACATCTTCCCAGCTAAACCCCCGTGCGCCCCTAAGGCCAGGTAAGTGCCCACAGCTGTGCAGGGATCTCAGGTATTTAGGGCTGTTAATGAAGACGCCCGTTTCTCTTCTAAGTCCCCAGCACAGAATCACAAACCTCCCTCCTAAAGCCGACGGGGAGAGCAAGCTCCCGCGCACCCTGCAAGCCAGTGCAGGTACCCAGCACGCTTTTAAGACGGATATCTCCAGCTCCATCCCTTCTGGTTCCTTCCTCCCTGGGGGATTAATCACTCTGCAAGGTCCTCGCTACCCGCAGGGTGAGGGCAGAAAAGTGGAATTTGGGAATGCGTTGCCAAAGTTGTTACCCGAGGGGGCTGAGCATCAGATTGCAACTGGAGTGTAAAAGTAGCCTCTTTGCTCGCTGAACTGAGCAGAGGACACCCTGGGAAACTCCTACTGCTCCCTGAAGAAGTTCAAAGCTGTTAAACCAGGATGTGGTCTGATCTGATTTTTCTCGATCTCATCTAGCACGCTCTTTGGTGCAGTGACCACAAGGAAAGGCTGCTGGGGAATTTCTCATCATGCAGACTGAAAAAGCACATGCAACCCACTGTCTCTCTCTCTCTGTTTCAGTCCCAGCCATGCCATCCCTCTTTATTAAAGTCATTAACAGCACCGCCGTCCAGGCTACGTGGGAGCCCTCCATCAAACTGGGTCTGCATGAAGGCTTCAAGCTCTATTACCGCAAGGTCCACCTCTCCCAGTACACAGGTCCGGTGCTGCTGCCCAGCAACGTAACAGCGTACAACATTACCCACCTGGGTGAGTATGTCCCCCATCCGTGTCCCCTCCTGGCCCTGGGAGAGCCTGTTGTGATGGGAGAGCTCCGATGTGTTGCACAGCCACCAAATGGGAGACGCTGCCGCTCTCCCCGGCTCTTTGGGGGGCTTTTCTCTTTTTTTGATGCTTTCCACTTGTTTCAAGCATCATCTTCTGTGTATTTGGTGAGATGTGCATTTCCTAAGTAAGCATCACTCGGGGACATAACGCATTAGCATTTATCTAGCATCTACGTAAACGAGCTTTTTAGGTTAAGGCTGAAACGCCCTGCTTGTGTCTCCTTCAAAACAGACGCGTCGGTGGTGTATGAGGTCAAGCTCCTTGCCTATAACCAGCATGGGGATGGCAATTCAACTGTCCGCTTCGTGTCCTTGAGGGAAACCGTGGAGAGGACAGGTGAGTCGGGACGTCGGTCTCGGTGGTAGTTTGCGGAAGCTGCTTTGCAGGAAGGTGGCGAGGCCAGACACATCCCCCAGGCACCCGCGGCTCTACCCCACCATCTCATTTTCAGCCACTCATTTATTTTCAGCATCACAAATAATGATGAAGCAAAACTCTGCAGGGCCAGGACCACCTGGTTCTGGTCGGGGTGGCTTCTCTGCCACGTGGCTTTGCACCATCCCCACTGGCTTCCGTTAGCCTTAGCGAGCTGACACCCCTTCACAGCACAGTTCATCCTGGAGACTTTTTCACCAAGGGGGAGAGGAAAAAAGTGTTCCTGTAATGGCCGGTTTTGCCCTCTAAGCTCGAACCAGAGGTGAGGCCATGAACACGAGCAAACCCCATCCATAAGCTGCCATCCGCGAGTGAGATGCGGTGCACCGAGCACCTCCGCCCTCCTGGAGCTCTCCTGGGTGTTTTAACCTTTGCTGGTGCTGGGAAGGGAGGACACGTGGCTTTGGAAAGAAGGGCTGCGGAGCGCGAGCACTGCATTATGTGGCAGAAAAGGAGAAATCTCCAGAGGGAATCTCTAACTGATCACACCTTTCATATTCATCTATGTGTAAAAAACATCCTGCTGCTCTTGGAAGCCTCTTAAGCCTTCCAGTGGGAATATCTTCAAGAGACAGTTATTACTCCTCTGTCTGTGTTGGAGTAAATACTAATCTCATCGGCACCTGCCTGCTCGGTGCTTCCCATCAGGCGTGAGCCTGCTCTGGCGCGGTGGCCGCCTCTCGCCTCCCGCCTCGGACACGGGGGTTTGCAAAAATTAACACCAGAGTCTTTTGTGTTCATTAATTGTGTGTAACAACAGCAGCCCGGGTAACGGGGCTGGCTCTCTACGGACCTTCTGGTCCCATGCTTGCTGTGACTGCCTTCCCGGGGTACCAGGAGCAGGGGAGCTGCTTTGGCAGGCGGTGACACCCCCGGCCCCCCACCCCGCTCTCCTCTTCCCTGTACACAGCTCCCAGCACCGCCCAGGCTCCAACTTCTGCTCTGGGCTCCCCAAAAGCTGGAGGATCGATAGGAAAAGAGCACCACTGACACCCCCCTCCCCGTTTCTTCTGGCAGTGCTGAATCCCTCTTGCGACTGCATGAAGGACGAGCAGAACAATAAAACCTCCACGACCGGCATCATCATTGGGATCCACATCGGCGTCACGTGCATCATATTCTGCATCCTCTTCCTCATGTTTGGCTACAGAGGAAGGTAGGGCTTGCTCACGTCGCCGCTCACGAGGGGCGATGGTCCCTGATGCCGTGTGGGTACCCCCATGGGGGGCGTGTGCCTCCGATGCGATGACGGACCGCTTCCCGTGCGCATCTCGGGACGGGCATCCCGCGGCGTGCGACTGCGCAGCCCGGCTGCGGGGAATGCCGGGTGCTGTTTGCAGCCCGGCTCCTGCCTCCCTCCCAGGCACGCGGACCCAGCGGGCTTCTCCGGATACGGCCATGAGAGACCCCATCAGCTCCGGTCCCCATCGCGGGCCCTGGTACTTCCTGGGTCCATCTCTTTTGGCGAGCCCCGACCTTCCCTCTAAACCAAAAGGCCTCTCACGGCGAGGGGAGGAGACGTGACTCTATAGGAGGGCTTTAAGGAGTGAAGGAACGTAGCACAGCGATAAGGCAGACTCAGGCTTTGTTCACCCTCAGGCTCTTTATTTTTCAGGCTACTGATGTGCAAAAATGTGCAGGAGCAGCTGTCAACCCCGCAGATCCCCAGGAGCCAGCGGAGCGCCACGGGCCTCGTCCTCAACGGGGCTGCTCGCAGGGACAGGGACGACCGGGACTTGAACGGAAAGCAGCTGGATATGAACGAGCTGGAGAGGTTATTCCCCGCATCCCCATCCCAGGAGCAGCAGGATAAGGGACTAATGGTAAGTCC